GTTTTCCCGCGCGGCGTCTATTTCCCCGCCGTTCCACATCTGCCCCCCCCCCCCGCCGTCGCCCGCGCGCCCCCCGTCCGCCCCGTCGCCCGCTTCTTCCCCCGATGCCCCCTCTCCCCTTAATTATGCTTCCCACTGCCCCCCTCTCCCTGCCCCGGTTCCCCCCCTGTGGCCCTGCGCCGCCCCTCTCGCCTCAAATCCGTCGTCGCGTCTCTCCCCCCCCCGCGCTCTCTCCGCCCGCGCGCCCCCCCTCGCTGAGCGCCCGGGGGGGGCCTCTTTCTAAAATGCAGCAAAAATACAGCGGCATTCCCTTTCGAGGAGGTCAGAATTTCGCGCGCGCTGCCCCGCCCGCCCCTCTTCCGGGGGCAATGCGCCGCCTTCGTCGGCGCGCCCGCCCGCCTTCCGCGATCGCGCGAGACTCATCGCGCGAATGAGTTTCGCAATTTCGCGGCGCCCCCGGCGCCCCCGCGCGCCCGCCAAACCACCCGCCCACATCGGAAAGATGCCGCGTCGAAGGCTCGCGCGTCGATCGGCGGGAATCGGTTTGGCGCTGGCCCGCGTCGAGCTGCGCCGTCGAGCGGCGCCCGTCCGCGGCGACGAGCGGTTCCCCGAATGCGATGAACAAAATTTCGTTTTCTGGTTGCGCGACGGGCGCGTCCCCGCAAACGCAGGCGCGTGCGAACTGCAATCCGCCAGTGAACCTGCGCCGCCGCCGCTCCCGACCCCGGCGCCGCCCCGCCCCAGATTTCGCGCGCGCAAATCTGGAAAACATCAACTTGTCATGCTCAGGCGCTTGTCCGAGAGCCATGCCTGCAAGCGCCGCGACAGGGTTGCTTTGCGAGCCGGAGGTCTGAATCAAACTTAGAAACCGGACGCCCTGAAAGTTTGCACGTCCGACATGTTCGGGCAATGGGGGCGCGGCGTCTTCGGCGCGAGAGGGAGGGGGGGGGGTCGGCGCCTGCGAAGTTAGTCGCGTAGAAACGCTGAAGAGACGCCATGCTCATATGATTTCAATCGGCGCGCCGTCGCGCGCGGCGGCTCGCAGGCCCCCCGAAATGCCGCGTCGGGGGGGGGGGGGGGGGCAGGGGGGGTCCCATTTCCAGTTGGATTCTGAATGGATATGCTACCGGATTCCACGTGAATGATCTGCTTGTTTCTGGGTGAATTCTCCTCCGAGCGAGTGCTTATTTGGCGTTTTCCCTGCGCGAGCGGGCGCGGGCGGGGCCCGCGGGAAGTGTTCGCTTGGTTTCCGCCAAGGTTTCCATCGGAGAGTTTGGCCAGGCACCCGCCCAGGCATCGCCCGGGATGTCGCCCGGGCATTCGCCCGCGAGGTTCGGCGCTCTTCGCTGCGCGACGTCTTTGCGGCCCGCGGCCGGGGCGCCCGAGTTGACGGGCCGCGCGGTTCGACTGCCGTCGAGAGCCGGGCGGCTGAAAATTTGGCTGGGCGCGGGGCTCGCTGGCCCAAATTCTGCACGCTTCGCGCATCCCCACCAGCCCATCTCACAACAGCAACTCATGCGAAGCATGGCGACAGTCGTGTTTTTTCAGGCGTGTGTCCGTTTGGCCCCGCATATCTCCCCTGCCCCTCCCTCCCCCCGCCCCCTCGCACATCCTCCTTGTGGGGGGGGCGGGAGAAGGGCGAGGCGGAGGAGGAGGGAGAGAAAGCGCTCCTCGTGATTCGAGTCGCTTGGGGTTTCTCGTCCTGGTGTGAGTCGTTCGGGCCCTTCTTCCTTCCTGGTGTGAGTCGTTCGGGCTCTTCGTGGTGTGAGTCGTTCGGGCTCTTCGTCCTGGTGTGAGTCGTTCGGGCTTCTCGTGGTGTGAGTTGTTCGGGCCCCTCATCCTGGCGTGAGTCGTTCGGGCCCCTCCTCCTGGTGTGACTCGTTCGGGCTCCTCGTGGTGTGAGTCGTTCGGGGCCCGCGTCGTGGTGTGAGTCGTTCGGGCTCCTCGTGGTGTGAGTCGTTCGGGCGCCTCGTCCTGGTGTGAGTCGTTCGGGCCCCTCCTTGTGGTGTGAGTCGTTCGGGCTCTTCGTGGTGTGAGTCGTTCGGGCCCCTCGTCCTGGTGTGAGTCGTTCGGGCTCCTCGTGGGGCCTCATGGGGGCCTCTTGGGCCTCTTGGGGCCTCTTGGGGGCCTCTTGGGGGCCTCTTGGGGGCTTCCTGGGGCCTCTGGGTGCCTCTTGGGGGCCTCTTGGGGGCCTCTTGGGGGCTTCTTGGGGCCTCTTGGGGGCCTCTTGGGGGCCTCTTGGAGGCCTCTTGGGAGGCTCCTGGGGGCCTCTTGGGGCCATCTTGGGGCCTCTTGCGACCTCCTCAGAAGCGCAGAGAAGCGCTGCCCCGTGAGGAGGACAAAATGCGCCCAAAACCTTCGTAAAATCAACGATTTTGCTATGATGGAAAATGAGCGCGGCCCCCATCGGGAGGCCAAAATGGGGCCAAAACCATAGTAAAAGCAAGGGTTTTGGCTTCACAGAAGTGGAGAGGTTTTTTTTCTGGGCCCCCCCGACGGGGCCAGAATCCTCGTGAGGGTCGTCGTTTTTTGGCCCTCCCAGGAGTCGAAGAAGACCCTTCCAACCACCCGCGGGACGCCCTCTCCAGGCCCAGGGGGAGGGGGTAGGGGGAGGGGTAAACCCCTCCCCGAAGGGGAAGAAGGGGGGTTGAGGACAGAGGGGGCTCTCTAAACCACTCACGCCCTAAAGGGCTGGTGGGATTTGTTTCGATCGTGGCGTTGAGGGGCCGCAGGGTTCGCCGCCCTCGCGCCGGCCGAAGGGGGGGGGGCACCCCAATCCCAGGAGAGGGGCGCAGTTCAGGGGGAGGGGCGGGCAGAAGGGACGCGGATTGCGTCGGATTCGGCGCCCGTTTCAATTTCGCGGGCCCTTCGGTCCACTCCGCCAGCGGGCGCGAGCGCCCGCGTCGGCAGGCGTGGAAATCAACGTTGGAATTCAACGGATAGCGTTGCCGAGCGCCCCGTCGACTTCCCCGCCCGAGCGGCGCAAGCCCCCCGGGTGTTAGCTATATACATTCAGTCCTGTGCTCTACCTGCCCGAAGCCCTTTCTTGTTGTGGCTTTGGCTCAAGGGCGGGAGTTTCACACTTTTACATTTGTTTGACGCGGCGCAGGGGGCCGCGCCTTTCTGCGCGGCTAGCGAGGCCGCGGTGACTGTAACAGTATAAGATTCATCGTGTCGTGGTGAGAGATATATCATCGTCGGAACTTCCTGATATTACTGCTGCGCCGATTCCGCCAACATGGTGGCGGAGCCGTCGTGGAGACCCACAATTAAGTCGACCGCTGGGTGTGAGACTAATGAGCAGGGAGTGCCGACTTGGAGTGGGGCATCCTTCGCCGCCCTGGGTCGCGATGGCCATCTTGCGACAATTTTGGGGGCCCCCGTGTTCGCGGCCCGAGGCGCCGGCGAAATCGGCGCGGGCTGGGCCGGATGCGAGCGGCGCCGTGGATTGGGGGTCGCCGTGGGGGGTCGCGGCGCAGACGGCCAGGGGGAACAGCGGGGTTATTGGAGAGGGCGGCGGGCAGGGCCAAAGGCGCGCGAGGGGGGAGAGGGGGGGTGGGGCGCGTCGTCGACGGCAGTCTGGGGGGCGTTCTTGCTGACTTACTCGGAATTCGCGGCGGCGGCAGCCGCGCGGGCCGCGGCGGCATGCTCGGCGCCATCGGCGCGCGGGGGCACGCAGGACGTTTTGCCATCGGCGTTCGCGCGATGATGGCACAGTGGCCACGTGAGTTTGGGCCGCAGAAATGTCGAGTGGCCCGCGGCCCGGGCCCGCCTCCGCCGACTTTTCTCTGCCTCATCGCCTTGTCCCCCTGTCTCCAAGGGCCCGATCTCAGCGGCCCCGTCGAGGCCGTGCTAGCCGCTGCCCCCGTTCAAGTTCCAGCCGCCCCCCTTTCCGTCCTCTGCCCCCCCTCCTCGCCCATTGCTATTCCCCAGGCGACGTCGCGCGCTTGCCCCCCCCCCCCTCCTTCTCCTCATGCGCGGTCTGCATCGGCCCCGTTGTCGCTTGCCTGGCGCCGTCGTTCCTGTCGGTGGCTGCGCCGCTGCTACTGTCCCCTTTTATGCCATCCGCCGCGCCGCCGCCGCCGCTGCCGTCGGAGATGTGGCGTCGGGGATATGCAGATTCGGCGGGGTCTGCGTCGTCGACTCGCAAGCGAGGCGTTCGCGTTGTCCTGGGTGGATCTCTTCTGGGCTGGCGCGCGCAGCTGCGTTTCGCGCGCGCCGCGTGCCACTTCGCTAATCCAGCGCGCGGTTTCTGCGCGATTATACAGCGGAGACATTTTTTGTCAGGTATTTCACATTACCGTATTTTTTTAACACAAAGCACGCCATGTAATGTGCTCTTGGATTCTCGCTTAATACACCTCGAGTGCCGCACGTCGTTGCGCGGTTGACGCGTTGTTTGTATCAATTGCTTGTGCGCCAGCAAGCCTCGTCCTGTGGCCTGGGCGAAAGGGCATGTGTGGTGGCGCGGCGTAGTTTGGTGGATGAATCTGTTTCCCGAGGCGCTCCAAGATTGAAGCCAGGAGCTCATCAGCGCCCTTTGCCCACCAGCCGTCCAGAAGGCTGGCGGGATTATCGGTTTTGGCCGCGGTTCGCATCCCGCCCCCCCTCCTCTTGCTGTTCAGGCGCCCTTCGCTGCGGGCACCGACGGACCGCAGGTGTCGCCGCGCGCCAGTTTGCCACGGATACTGTTCGCATGTTTGCCAGGAGCTACCTCCAAGACGTGCATATGCCCCTGGACGATGGAGCCGCTTTGTCACTGGCGCTAGTGTGCGTTAAAAGAGTTTCGGTCGGCACCATGCGTGTCTTGCGTCGTGGGAGCCACTGGTTCGGGGCAAGGAGACTGGAAGAGTGGGATGATATGGGTGGGAGGATGGGGATGGGAAGGAGCAGCAGCAACACCAGGATGAGGATTGAGAAGCGGAGGGAGAGGAAAATCGGTCGCCGGCAGAAGCAGCAGTAATACGATCGCGGGCCGCGGGCAGTAGCACCCCCCGCAGGCGGCACGACGGCGAGGTTCCCCCGCCCGCGGCGGCCGCGCAGTCCACTGGCGTGGACGCCGACGGCGCTGGCAGGGAGGGCGACAAGCCCAGGCGGAAGTCCAAGTGGGATGTCGCAGACGCGGGCGCGCGCCTTGGCGGCCGCGGGCCCCGCGTGGCCGATTGAATCCCACGTCGGGGCCGTTTGGGGGATTCGTGGAACATCTTCGGACCCTAAGGATCAGCCGTGGCAGCGTTATGAGAAAGTTTGATGTGTCTTGGTAACAAGCAAGGATGATTACGTACAAAACAAACATGCGTGCGCTTGACTTCCAGTGACCATTCTCAGGAACGCCGCGCCCGAAACAAAACAAACCCTCTTCATGTGACTTACTGTGGGTGACTATCCGTAGAACTGTTGCCCATTCGCTCGGAAAAATTGTATACGCATTTCGGTAAGAGCACCCTAGCCATGATATATATGTATCCCGTCTCGCTGCCGCACCCGGAACGCCCCTGCCGCAGCTTTGCTGCTTGGTTTATGCATCGTGCGGTGGGCTTGAAACGCGGGGGTGTGCAGCAGCAAGCGGACGCATGAGGGGATCGTCATGTTTGGGTTCGCATGGGGAGATGTTCAAGAATAATCCAGTGGGGTTGGCAGAAAACCCACAGTAGCGCGGATTGGCAGTGGACATTTATCGCGACCATCAAACAGGCGGCTTCATGATCCGACCACCAGAAATACTTGACACCCGCTTCACTTTGTAGTCGGCCGCCCGATCGTGATGGCATGCGAGCGCCTTGAGCGTGCGAAGAACACACATAGCGCCAGCATGACCAGGACAGCTATGAGTGCGGGCGGCAGTTTGATCGCTTGTGCTAGTGATGGCAGCTTTATGCTTAGGAATCTGCGGTATCAGACCTTTCGGTGCGGGCACTTGTGATGACGAGACACGCCTTGCTTTCCTGAAGGGTGGGAAGAGCGGGGAAAGACACGCAGGACAGGTGGTAGAGTGGAGCGAATTTGCGAAGCGCCGCCAGAGCTTTGCCTAGGCGACGCGCAGCCTGCAAGCGGGACGTCACAGGCCGATAATCCAGGATGGCGGCCGCTATACACCAACCCAGGTTCAGCAAGCCGGCCCGATGCCAACGCTGGTGTACCCCAGCAGCCTGGCATGCCGCCTCTGGGATTGCAGCCAGGGGTGCAGCCCATGCAGCCCCCTCCACCTGGCATGCAGCCAGAACAGCCCCCTCCGCCAGGCATGCAGCCTGGTCCCCCTCCCCCCCCCGGCATGCAGCCTGTGGTGCCGCCTCCCCCCAGCATGCAGCCTGGGGCGCCGCCCCCCCCAGGCATGCAGCTTGGCCCCCCTCCTCCGTCAGGCATGCAGCCTGGGGCGCCGCCACCCCTGGGCATGCAGCCTGGGGCAACGCCTCCCCCCTGCACGCAGCCTGGAGCGCCGCCGCCCCCGGGCATGCAGCCCGGAGCGCCGCCGCCCCCGGGCATGCAGCCTGGAGCGCCGCCTCCGCCCCCGGTCATGCAGCCTGGGGCGCCGCCGCCGCCCGGCATGCAGCCGCCACCCATGCAGCCCCCCGCACAAGCGAAGCTCCTGTTGCTTCCTCCGGGCATGGCAGCACCCTCCATGCAGCCCCCTCCTGCCTCCTCTGCCGTGCAGCCGGATCCAGGACCCGCTTGATATTTTGGGACAAAGTCAGAGAAAGAGAGAGAGGTAGGTTGGCTACTTCAGAAATCAATGCTTCGACAGTCTTGAGCCACTCGAGGGTGTCAATTCCACGCGCTTGTCAGGATGACAACTTGGTGAAGTCGGCGTCTCATGTTTGTGTGTGCGCGCATGTGGCATTCAGACACCAGCACGCGCGAGACGGAGCGGAACATGGTTGGGAAGACATCCAGTTGCCTGATGTAAATCTTGCCACCGTGCCAGCGCAGCAGCACTGACATGGCTCGGGTCGTAAATTGTCCTCATTGCTCGCAGCCGCGTGATCCTCTTCCTTCCTCATCTCTCCTTCCTCACCCCCTCTCGAAGGCATGGTGAAGGCTTCTTGGGAGCGTCTTTGAGCCGTTTCGGGGCTTGGGGCGAGGTAGGGTCCTGCTCTCGGGCTCGTTTTGGGCATGATGTTTCCACCGAGCTCTCTGGGAAGCGTTCTTGAGGGTACCCTTGGAGGCAACACACTTGTGTGTTTTTGATTTCCACAGGTTTGTCTTATCGTTTCGTCTCCTCGGGCCTCGCTGAAGGGCTCTTTGAGCGTCTCTTAGGGGGTTTGTTGGGACCTCTTGGGGCATCCTGGGGGCATCTTGGAGCCTCTCTGAAAGTCTTTGGGCCGTCTTGGGCTGGTATTTTGGCATCCTGCAGCCGCTTGGTGTGGTCTTCAGCAGTCTTGGAGCGGTCTCGAGGCCGAACATGTGCTGCAGAGCCACCCTGTAATTTTTCTCCACGGTCGCCTGGAGGGGGGCGGCTTTGAACTCTTGCAAGACCTTGCCAGACAGATCAGACTATCGTGCAGGCGCGGTGACGGACTTCGTTTGTACCGGCGGACGCATTGGTGTTGTGAAGGAGACATCGTCGGCCTTGGGAGCGCTTGGAGGAGGTGACCCCAGTCGTCGTCACAGAGCCAGCAATGCATACGATTTGATTACCTATACGACCACCCTGCGGGTGATAAGGAGGTGAGGGGGGAGGGGGAACCAACGTCTCACTCAATCGATCTCGCTATCGATCTCACATTCGATCTCATCATCGATATCACTATCGATCTCGCTATCGATCTCACTATTGATCTCACAATCGATCTCACAATCGATCTCACATTCGGTCTCACATTCGGTCTCACTGTCGATCTCACAATCGATATCACAATCGATCTCACAATCGACGTCATCATCATCAACAACAACACCATCATCATCATCATCATCATCATCATCATCATCATCATCATCATCATCATCATCATCATCATCATTGCCATCATCATTGCCATCATCACCATCATCATCATCACCACCATCATCATCATCATAATCATCCACATCATCATCGGGACACCGACGGGACACCGACGGGACACCAGCGGGACACTGGCGGGACACCGCGCGCCACCGGCCGCCCGGAAGGGAAACATTTGGTCCGGCCGCGCCTCAGCCATAAGAGAACCGACGGGACACCAGCGGGACACCGGCGGGACACCGCGCGCCACCGGCCGCCCGGTGGAGAATCATTTGGTCCGGCCGCGCCTCAGCCACAGGATACTTTCCTCTCGCCCGCCCACGCAGCTTCGCCTCGCCCGCACGGCACGCACGAACACGAAACCGAAATCGATTTCCCGGTAGGGGGGCTCTCCGTTCCACTTCGATCTCACCCCCTCACCTCCGATTCTGGTTCGCTGAAAGCCTGCACGGGGCATCAGGAGGAGGGATAGCATCGCAGGGAATGGCAGCACAGGGCAGCCGCGCCCTCCCTTCCCTCACCGCCTGGCCCAGACCTCCGTGGGGTCCGAGCTTCTGGCCGGTCGTGGGCCGTGTGCTCTCTCGGTCCACGTCGTCGAGCACACTGCGGACGGAACCCCCTGACGGGACCCGCGTGCTCTCATCTCCCCTCAAGTCTCCTCCAAGCCGTTCCTCCTCCCCTTCCCTCCCTCTTCCCTCCCCCTCCCTCTTCCCTCCCCCCCCCGTTCGCCCCTCCCTCCCTCCTGCCTCCAGGCTTTCTCCGAGCGGCGCCGCCTCCGCCTTCTCGAGGGGTGAAGCCCGAGGCAGGCGCTGGACGCCGGGACGCGTGAGCGCAGGCCCCCCCCCCCGTCGCCGGGTGGCTCGCGCGGCTGCTCGGTGGGGCCCAACCATTCGTGCCAGGACAGTCGTGGGCCGTCCTTTGGCCTTTTTTGGCCCTGCGCGAGAGCACGTCCAGGCATCCATGCGAGCCGACAGGCGGCGTCTGGTCCCACCATGCCGATTTGGTCCTGCGGTGCCCAGAGTCCGACTTGGTCCTGCCACACCTCCCAGAGGCCCGCGAGTCCACCGAGCACGCTGGCACGCATGAGCCTCGAGCGCCAGGGCAGGCATGAGGCGCGGCGCCACCGCGCCCCTTTCTGACAGCCCCTCGAGCGACACATGAGGGCCATGATCAAGACGCGTGTGCGCCCAGCGCCGCCACAGACACTGGACAGCGGCCCTGTGGTCCCTGCAGGACGCCGTGCAAGCCAAAGTCATCAACCAGACTAAATACTGACTCGATCAATGGTAGGCTCGTGGCGCTAGTCGGCCACCCACGGTCCTACCGCCTCGTCCAATTCCCCAGCGGGATTCCGCAAAACACTGCTTTGCCAGTCTGGAGCCAGTGCCGGCGCGGCTCAGACCACGCCAGCTAGAATAGACGCACCGCGGTTTTGCCTCCGACGCTTCTCCCAGAGGGGGCGACCTCTCAGGTCGACGCCTCGCAAGTGGCGTGGAGCAGCCACACCCGTTCCTGTCAGCCGTTCGCGCGCCAGCTCGCCCGTTTTGCCTCTTCCCGCATCTGCAGCACGCCTGCGGCTCCCTGGACACGGACGCGCCACCCAGGTCGAATCGACAGCTTCTGCCGTCCAGCTCGGGGGGGAGGCCGCCTTTCTCCCGACCCCCATCCCTGCTGTCACCGAGACCCTAGCGATGGCGCCCCAGTTTTCATACTGCGCGTCCTGCCCCCGCAGGGGCATGCCCAGTCCTCGCGCGCTCTTGACGAGGCCAGTTGGCATGCTGCATGCAGCAGCCCGCGGCACGTTTGCACGCGGCCATGTTGGCCCTCCACTGGGTGTTTATTTTGCTTGTGCTGGTTCGCCTTGCATCGCTCTGTTCCGCATGCGCGCCAATTTCTGGCCTCTCCAGAGCTGTGCATCGCGCATGTCTCGCACACGATGCCTCTGCCCCTCCTCCCCCCTTTGCTCATCCTTCCCCCCTTTGCCCGTCCTCCCTCCCGCCTGCTGCTGCCGCTAGCTGGGGGGGCCGCGACCAGCTCCTCCGCGGGCGCGGGCCCTGCCCCGCTGGCGCCCAGGCGTCCCAGCGCCCCCCCCCGCTGCCGCGCTGCCTGGCCAGCCCCCGCTGGCGCCGCCGCCGGGAGCGCCGCTGGGGCCGCCCGGACCACCGCCCCCGGCAATGACTGGGCCGCCGCAGCCCGGGGCGATGGCCCCGCCAGCCGGCGCTGTCGTGGCAGGCGATGGGGAAAACGGGGGGGGGAGCGGGGGCATTTTGGAGAAGCAGGAGGAGGCAACCACGAGGCAGGAGCCAGAGAGGGGAGGGTGGATGGGGGGAGCGGGGAGTGAAATGGAGGCAGAAGGCACGGGAGTTGGGTGCAGGGGCAGGCGAGGGCGAGGGAGGAACGCCAGGCCTCCAGCGGCCCGTTCCGCTTTCTTCGGCAGCCGATTTCAGCGAATTTCGGCGACCCCTCGCTCAGGCGGGGCGGGAGGGACGCGAAACTTTGTACTTAGTATGGTTTCCGATACCCTGCTCGCTCTGGCGGGGCCTCCTTTGTGGGTTGGGAGGGGCACGGGGACTTGCAAATTGCACGGTTATCCGATTCGGGCGGAGCTTCCCTGGAGGGGTTGAATTCCCAACTCTCCATTAACAATGTAATTGGGTTGGGGGCGGAGAGATTATGAGAAAATGTTGCAAGCACATGTATTGCGTTTGCATGTATGGATCCGACTACACGATGTGATTTGCTCAGTTAGACTTGCATGTATGCTGTTGGGATGTCCCGGTGCGGAACAGCAGTATAAGTAAGTGTCGGGGCCCATATGGGGATTGGCACATCGCATCCCCGGCAATTCGAAAATACAGTTTGCAGATGTCAGGGTGGATGACTACTCTCAGGCAGAGGAGGGGGAGGAGGAAAAGGGAACGATGTCAGACCACAGGAGGCAGGAATGAGGAGAGGAGGAGGGAGGAGGCGCGCGGCATGAGGGAAAAGGGTGGAAAGATGAGGAGGATGAGGTGGACGAGACAGAGGAGCTAAGGAGGAGTACGAGGACGAGGAGGAGGAGGAGAAGGAGGAGGAGGAGGACGAGGAGGAGGACGAGGACGAGGACGAGGAGGAGGAGGAGGGGAGGAGGAGGGGAGGAGGAGGAGGAGGAGGAGGAGGAGGAGGAGAAGGAGGACGAGGACGAGGACGAAGGCGAGGCGGAGGAGGAGGAGGAGGAGGAGGAAGACGAGGAGAAAGGCGCTGATGCCCGAAAAGCCTTCCGAGGCCACGCCCAAGCGGGACTGACACATCCCAACTTTCGCACTGACACATCCCACTTTCGCACTGGCCCAACTTTCCGAGGCACGCCCAAGCGGCACTGGCACTTTGGCCTTCGTGTACCCAACTTTCGCACTGACACATCCCGCTGCTATTTCCTCTTCACTTGTCCTTAGGCCCGCGACCAGAGCTGTTGTACTACCTGATCCACCAGAAGTTCGGTTACCCATTACTCGTCCCTTCATCGGGGACCACGTCGACCTCCACGACCGCGAAAACGACCGCAACACCCACGGGGGACCGACCCCGACGCCCACGGTCGCCTGCCTGGCACCGACGCTTACGCCGCGAGCGCGCCGACGCCCGAGTGTTCTTTCGCCTCGACCGGGCACGCCAACTACTCGAGGACCACCACAGCGCCCAGCAACCACATCGAGCACCCGACACCACCATGGCGCCCAAGATGGCCCCGACTCCAGTTGGCAGCTGCCACGCTAGACAATGGTATCAGTAACAGCAGCAGCACCAGCCCGCAGCCGCGGCGACACCCGCGGCGCGGGCAGGAGCAGTTCCACGGAACAAAAGCAACGCCAGCGCAGCCTCAACGTACAACGCAGACAAGAGAAGAGAAGAGAGACTGCTGCCAGCATCGCCCCCGCGACCCTGGCTGAAGCCAGGAGACAGCAGCGCAGGAACGAACCACCACCAATGCGCCGCATCGGCCGCGCCAAGGAGTTCCGCAAGAACTGCATGGCAGACATCGACTACCTCATCGCCACCATCCAGAGGCACGCCAACGACGACTACGACTTCCACGGCGTCGTCACCAAGATCTGACTACAAGCGTCCACGCTGTTCTACTCGCGCCACCCGAAGGATCAACGGCGAGAAGTTGAGAGCGTGACCAACGACATTGTCAACCGAATGGGCCACGCACAGCAACAGCTGGAGAAACTACAGCGAAAAGCCCCAGTACTGAGAGACCGACATCGCCAGCTTCGAAGACTCCACGGCAGCATCAGGGGCGCCGACTCGGACGACGCCGACGCCGAATCAGCGACTTCGCTTAGGAGGCGCGCGTAGCAACCGCGGTCCGACACCCCCTCGCCCAACATCGGGAGACGGCGCCGAGGACGCCTCGGGATGCGCCACCAGAGCCATCAGCTGCTCACGTGCTCACGGAGGCCCCAACCGTCAACGCGCTGCGACAAGAGCTCCACGAAGCACACCAGCAGGCCGAATCGCCACGAAGTCATGTCGCACGTGAACAGGCCGTCATCATCCAGCTCGAGGAAGCGAAAGAGTCCCACTACAGACACGAAAAGGAAAACAACCGCCAGTTCCAGCGTTCCGAGCACGACCGGATGGAGGAGCACAAGAAGGACATATACAACGTCGGGAAGGCGACCGAGAAGATCGCCGAGCACGGCGCGCGCAATACTGAGACAGACCGCGTTATCATTGCGATCCTAGAAGACGAGTTCGGCGAGGCTAGCGCCATCGCGTTCAGCCCGCCGACCGCAACGAGAAGATTCCCAAATCATCAAAACTATTTGACGAGCGCTGCCAAGAGACAGCCACAGCCGCCACAAACGAGCACCTGCTGAAAGCGCCGGGAGATGCGCGACTTCAGCTGCGTCAACCGCGTCAGCCGCGAACAGCAGCTATGATCACCAAGTATCGCAACCTTGCGAAGTGCATGACAGAGTATGAAACCATCCAGCACCGAGAGCACCAGCAGCATATTTGTCATCAACGACTTACATCAGACAAAGAATACGGCGCAGCAGATACATGCACGACAGCGCGCGCGAACGGCCGCGACCAGAACTCGCAGCAGTGGATGCCAAGAACGTAGACATTGAGGACCAGGCCCGCGTGCACATTCAACGCGACTACCACCTTTCAGAGCAACGCACCAGCTACCCCGAGAACAAGATCTACGGGCAGAAGCAGACCGTGCACGCCAGGGAGAAGCAATGCCACGACGAGACCGAAGCCGCCCGCGCACTGGAAGGGCGGACCGAGGGCGCGCATAACCGCATCGCCCAGCTCCACCAGCACAGAGAGGCCTGCGCTGCGACGGCAGAGCTCCGAGCGGAACGCGCGCGCCGCGACCGGCATTAGCTCGCCGCGGCAATGACTTCCATGAAATCGCAGGAGCACCTTCTCCAGCAGCATTTCAACAAGCACCGCGTCGCAGAGGCGCAGGTGCAACAGCGCGCCCGACAGTTCGGAGACGCCCACTCAGAGACCCACGCAATGCAGGAGGACAGAGAAGCAGACTTCGCCCACGACCTCGCCGACCAGTTCAGGCGCGGCGACCCCGATTCAATTGTCGCCCTCTTGCAGGCGCCGCGAGAGTTATCACCGCAACAAGCTGACCCAGGAGACCAGCTCATCGTCGCCCAGGGCCCAGGCCCTCGACATCGAGAGCCACGGCGCCCAGGCCCAGATGGGCGGATGCAACCGCGAGAAGGGCCCGGGCAATTTAGCTAGGTCGATGCCGGAAGGCGAACGCACAGCCACCTTAATTTCCCGGCGCCGACGAGACTGCCCACGCACCGCGGCCCGAGCCGCTCAACGGGCCGATCCCGCCTCAAGTTCAACCATGGGAACCAGCCACAACGCAGCCGAGGAACGACGACGACTACTTCAACTGATCGGAGAAGTTCCACATCTCACGCAGCGACTTCGAGAGGGGCGAGGCGCCGACGCCGATTGCAGACGAAGAGGAACGACCAGCCCAACCAAAATCGACGACGGAAGCGGCACTGTGCAATCCCCCCAGGGAAGCAGCCATATCACCAACGGAACGCAAGACACCGATGGGCGCCAGACCAGCACCGAGCTTTCACCGGAAGGCCACCCAACGGAGCAGCGTCATTGCAACCGACGTCCCCCGCGCAGCCATCGGAAGAAGTTCGCGTGCACCGCGAGCGTCTGGAACAACGCCGAACTGGAATTCAACGAGCAACAATGCCGCCCGTTTGTCACCAGCGTCGCACATATATACAACGGCAGCGTTCCTCGGGCAACCCTTGCAGCAACGCGATGAATACGCGTGCCAGCAGGGGAACCGGGCCACCGCCAGCAGTAGCTAACCTCAGGGGGTACAGAGGAAGCTCGGCAAGCCTGGCCGTCGAGAGGGATGGCAGGGCAGCCATCGACCTCGCAGCGCCCATGTCAACCAGATACGATCCACCGCGCGACGACAGCTCGGGCTCCGTGCGAGGCGACCTGGACATCAACGCAGAGGGTGCCGCATCTACAGACGACGTACTCCCCCTCGAGGTACGCAGCAAGGGAGGAATTTTCAGTCACAGTTCCCGTCCTTCCGACGGAGCCGATAGCGGCCGTCCTGAGGCGCTCCTCGCCGCTTACCCACCAGCGCCAGCATGACCTCGCTAATGTGCCCGATCTCCACCCTGCCGCCGCCATGGAGCTTGAGCCGCGCCCGCCTCGACACCTTCAACGGGTCATAAGATGGCACCTATGCGCAGATGGCGCGCATCAGCGCAACTCCACCCAAGACTCATGGGCCCCGGTTATCACCGCCGATGACGAACAAGGCTATATGTACCAGGGAAGCACCGGAGCCCACAACAACATCTCATTCAGAGACGACAACTTCCCTGGCATCAGCGCCACATCAGAATTAGCAGCTTTGATATGGGCCTGCGCATGGATGCGCGCGCAGCTTCGCGCCTTCAACCACAAACCTGACGTCACCACCCATGCCAACTCCATGATTGCCAGAGGCTGCGCCGAGGAAAATTTCCCACCCAAGAAGCTGACCGACTTAATGTGACTACTACACGACCTCACCTTTGAGGCGGCGAGCCTCATTGCTGACCGCGCGCGAGCGCGCGCAGGATATCCCTGGAACGAATTTGCAGACAGTCTCGCCAAGATGCGCGCAGCAACACCCAGCAACCAGCAGCAATGTCCACAGGAAGAGTGGGCACAAGCCT